GGGGGGGAACAGGTCCTAGGCACAGGGGGTCACCTCACGCCCCTCCTGTGCTCTTCCCCAGCCCCAGGGCCTGCCTTCCCAGAATCCCATCCTCAAGAACATCACCGACTACCTGATCGAAGAAGTGAGCGCTGAAGAGGAGGAGCTGCTTGGCAAAAGTGGGGAGCCGTCTGAGGAGCCCCCCAAGGAGGGAAACCCGGCAGAAATCACGGTGGAAAGAGACGAAAAGCTCGTCAAGGTGGGCTTTTATTTATTTATTTATTTATTTATTTATTTATTTATTTATTTATTTATTTATTTATTTATTTATTGGACTTTGTTTTTTAATAAAGGAGTGCTGCAGTTCTAAACACTTGTCCTAAGCAATGGCCTGACATGCTGAACACAAGGTTCTTTGCTCTTTTTTTTCCCCTTTCTCTTGGTTTAAACTATTTTTAACCAACCTCGGAAGAATGGAAGGCTGAGTCAACCTTGAGCCGGCTACCTGGGATTTGAACCCCAGGTCGTGAGCACAGTTTTAGCTGCAGTACAGCGTTTTAACCACTGTGCCACGAGGCTCCTTTTGCAAAAGGACTGGAGGGAGGGGCGGCCCCTTTCCCTTTGCTCACACCGGAAGCTGACCCGGAGTGCTGGGGAGCGGGGAGAACCCTTCCCAGTTCCTGCCAGCTTGCTGTGGAACCCCAGAGGTGAAATCTTCCCTCCTTCCCTCCCGGCAGGTGCTGGACAAGTTGCTGCTCTACCTGCGCATCGTCCACTCGGTGGATTATTACAACACCTCCGAGTACCTCAACGAGGACGAGATGCCCAACCGCTGTGGGATTATCCATGTGCGGGGGCCCATACCCCCCAACCGCGTCACACACCGGGAAGGTAGGGTTGGATCGTGTGTCCGAAGAGAGGGAAAGACAAACGGGGGGGGGTCCCAGTCCCCACCACCACCACCACCACTGGGCCAGGAGTCCTGCCAGATAACCTTGAGCCGGTCCCAAGGGTACCTCTTAGGATTTCTGCGAGGATGAAGTGGCGGGGGGGGGTGCCAGCTTGAGCTCCTGGGAGGAAAGGGGGCAGGGGTAGTGGGAAAGAAGTGAGATTGGCCAGCAGTGGGGCCCACCTGCCCCGAGGGCCCACCTGCCCTGGGCTTTTCAGTGACGCCTTTGGAGCAGGTTCCTCGTGCCGCAGAGGAGCCTCTCCACGCAGGCTGAATTGGCTTCTCCGTCGGGCCACCCTATTTTAGGGGCAGGGGGCATTTCTCTCTGCCCAAACCCAAGCGCCCACAGTGGCAGAGTCGGCTGACCATGCCTGTTGTTGAGTGGCCTGCCCTGCCATGGCCTGTTTCTCCTCTCAGTGGCCGAGTGGCAGAAGACCTTTGAGGAGAAGCTGACCCCTTTGTTCAGCGTCCGCGAATCCCTCTCGGAAGAGGAAGCCCAGAAGATGGGCAAGAAGGACCCGGAGCAGGAAGTGGAGAAGTTTGTCACGGCCAACACCCAGGAGCTGGGGAAGGACAAGTGGCTGTGCCCTCTCAGCGGGAAGAAGTTCAAGGTGCGGACGGGTCCCGTGGCCCCCAGCCGGTGGGGAGGAAGCCAGCGCCGATTGGCCGCCCCACCCTGAATGCACCGATTCTGACACCTTTGGGAAGCAGAGTGAGGCTGGCCTGGCTCACAAGAGGGATGGGAGACCACCAGAAGAGGTTTCCTGGGGTCTCCCGCTGAGCCCAGGAGAGTTGGCGGTACGAAGCTGGGGCGGTTCCGTCTTGTTGCGGCTCGGCAGAAGGGCCGCTTTCCCCAGCCCTCGTGTTTTACCGGGGAGTGTGGCCTGGAAGTCCCAGCTTTGAAAGGGGGGAAAAAACTTGAGAAGGCTTGTAAACTGCCCCCAAAAGTGGCTTAATATAGATTGAAGTCATCATGCTTGAATAATGAGGAGGTGCCGTCCGTCCCTGCCACCCTCTCGTCCCCTTTCCCTCCAGGGCCCTGAGTTTGTGCGCAAGCACATCTTCAACAAGCATGCAGAGAAGATTGAGGAGGTGAAGAAGGAAGTGTCTTTCTTCAACAACTTCCTCATGGACGCCAAGAGGCCCACCTTGCCGGAGCTCAGACTCAACCAGCCGCCCGTACCTGGACAAGGTAAGCGGGGGGGGGCCTTGCTGGGCGAGGGAGGAGGACCGGGGGGGGTGCAAGCCCGGGCGTGGCTTCGAGGGCTTGGGATTCCAAGTCTTCCTTCTCTGAGAGCAGGATCGGGTGGGGGTGAACTCTTCTGCCCAGATCATCCTGACCTGGTCCAGGTCTCCCCTCCCCGTCTTCTGCCCCCTTTCCTCTCTGCTTCCTTACCTTTTTCTTTTTAATTCCCACCCACTCCCTTTATTTCCTTCCCACGTTGCCCGTTTCTTCTGTCTCGGGTCACTGCCCAGCTCTTTCTTTCTGTTTCCTTTGCAGGCCTGGCTCCGGGGTTACCTTACCCACCCCAGGCCCCCCAGGGACTGATGCCCTATGGACAGCCCCGGCCTCCCATCCTGGGGTATGGAGGTAGGCACTGGAGAAACAGCTCCGCGAGGGGGCTGCTGTGGTGCCCCTTTCCTGCCAGGGCTATTTTATCTGTCCTGCAAGCGGCCTGCAAGAGTGGCCCGCCTGGGTCAACCTGGCCTGCTGGGCCTCTTCTTTTCGACCGGGGGGGGCATTGGGCTTGTTGTACCAGGCCTGCAGCAACTTAAAAACCCTTGAGCCTGAAGCAGAGAAGCTGCCTCTTAGCTTCTGTGTTAATATGTGTTTGTGTCAGAGGCGTAAAATGTGGCAGCAGTCTCGACCGTGGGGGGCTGGGCCCTTGGGATGAAAACGGTGAGCCCTTACATGCATTCTGTACGGTTGGGTCTGGTTGTTTCCTGAGCTCACCTCTGCTCCCTCAATTCACGGCAGCCCTGAGGTCTGAATAACAGTTTGGTGTTCTTGGGAGACAGGATTGCGCCTTTCCTACATCCGCTGTTGGGATACGGCCTGTGGCAGCGGTGTTCAGCTAGGCGCCCGCTTTTGGGAGGCAGCATACCATTCTGAGCATAGCGTTCTGTTTTGGAGCAATCAGCTTAATGGCCATTGTGCACGCGGGCATAGTTGGCTAACGATGGCGAGAAGGGAGACCGAGCCTCCGCCAGAACGTGTGACTGCCACACACGCTGGTAGCAATGTTTTTCTTCCTTCATCTCCTCCAGGTGGCCCGCCATACCCTCCCGCCCCCTATGCAGCCGGAAGGGGGAACTACGACACCTTCAGGGGGCAGGGGGGATATCTGAACAAACCACGGAACAGGTATGTGTGGGTGGCTAGCCTCTAATTCAGAAGGAGCCGAGATTCAGGCTGGCTGAGCTCTGCCGGAGGCGGCCCTTCTGTCTCCTCCTGTATTCGAGGGTGAGGGCGAGGGCGGCCCCGTTCTTGGCAGGGCGTCTCCCAGGGGCCAGCAGAGAAAGGACGGGTTGGCTTCCTCCACCTCTGGCTCCACCTCCTGTTCTCTCCACAGGATGGTTCGAGGCGACCCTCGTGCGATCGTAGAGTACCGAGACCTGGATGCCCCCGAAGACGTGGATTTCTTTTAAGTGAGAGCCCTTCCCAGTTGGAGTTGAATTCTTTTCCTCTCAAGAATTTTTTTAAAAATAATGCAGTTGTCCTGCTTGCCCCCTCCCTGTGTGCTCGTGTCCCCCCGCCAAGCCCTCCAAACCTATCTTTTTAGAATGTGTCTCCTGCGCTGTGTGTATTTCATGTTTTGGTTCCAGTCGCCGTTCAATAAACTCCCCCTAGAATGCCAATGGTGTGGTCTCTGCTCTTTCCCTTTCCGGTACTGCTGCAATGTGACTTCCAGCCACTTCTAGCTTACACCGAGCCTGTGTGTGTTTTGGCAAGTAGGGTTATATGGGGGGGGGGAGGGCACCCAAGAAACTGCCTCTTGTCCCCTGGTTCTATCCATCAGGAATCCGTGGGGGAGAATGGGGGGGCACAGATTTTGGCCACTGAGTTACAGTGGTGCCCCGCATAGCAACGTTAATCCGTTCCAGGATTAACGTCGCTATCCGGAAACATCACTATACAGAAGGTAAAACCCCATAGGACAGCGTGCATAGTCTGGTTCTTTGCAAAATTCTGGTTCCTAGGCTTAAAATCACCGCCTTTCTCTTGGTGACAGGCCTGGATGGTGCAGCGGTTGCCACCGCAGAGGCCAGAAATGATGCTTTACAGACATGTGTGGGTAGAGGATGACAAAACGACCTTGCTTTCCTTTGTGGTTGGTTGTTGGGAGCTAAGCACAAAGGGTGCTTCCAGGCGTGATTTAGCAGACTCCAAAGCCAAGGCTCGCCGAACCCCTCCCCATCTCCCGAGAATAACCCATTTCCCACTTTTAATGTGGGGTTTCTCTGTAATCCAGAGTTTGGGCCTAGGAGTTGAAATACCAGGTTGCAGTTCCCACTGTGGGTCACATCACCCCTTGATGGGGACATTCTCCTCTTAAAATGTTTTCCCTCCAGACACACAGATCCTTCAAAGCAGAGAGGAGGCATGCTTGTCTTAGCATCAAGAGAGATGCAGCCCTGCTTCCAGGCAGGCGTTAACTGTGCCGCCTTGCTTGGCTCCCGGGCGCGATGCCCACCGGGTGACGGAGGGCTTGTCCCCTGCGCTCTGCCTGACCCAACCTCACAGGGACTTCCCTCTGAGTTTGCTCCTGGTGAGGTGGCAAATACTAATATCAAAAGGAGAATCTTTTCTGTTTGAGTGGAGTAAGGCGGACACAGCCTTACACTCCCATGTGGGAGCCTGATTAAGGGGAGAAAGGCCGGAGAATCATGCTGATAAAAGTTTGGAACCAGTTGTGGAAACCTAGCCCCCCTCCCACCACCACCCACCCACCCTTCAGAAGAATGAGGTTTGGCCAGTTTGTGAGGATGCTGGAGAAAGGAACCCTGCAAAAGAGAGATTTCTTCCTTGGCCTACGTGTGTGCAAGTCAATGCTCAGAGAATTCGCGCTCCTGGAAGTGGGTGGCTGGGCTCAGCCGGTCCTCTCTGCAAAGTTGTTTTTCCCTTGGGAGCTTTATTGACTTGTGAGTTTCTCAGAGACAGTGAATGAGACATGACTCAGCACAACATTTTGAAATTAAGGCTGTGTTAACTTACTGATGGCCAGGCAGAAAACAAAACAGTCTTTAATCCAAGATGCAGCGGGAAGAAAAGCTAGTGCTGGGCTAAACTGACATCTTTCACCCCTTAAAGGAGCACTGCTTTGAAATACAGGCTAAGTCCGTCCGTCCGTCCGTCCGTCCGTCCATCTATCTATCTATCTATCTATCTATCTATCTATCTATCTATCTATCTATCTATCTATCTATCTATCTATCTATCTTTCTTTCTTTCTTTCTTTCTTTCTTTCTTTCTTTCTTTCTTTCTTTTAATCCCTCCTTTTTCCCTGAAAAGGACCCAAGTCAGCATACAACAATGAAAGACATTGTACTTAAAAGTTGAAAACAGTGAGTATACAACAGTGGTTAACACTGTTAAAAGACGATGTTTAAAACTACTGTATGTACGTACGATGAATAAAGAGGCAGCATTAAGGCAAAAACCAATAAGTATACGACAATAATTAAAAAAAGCCAAACTGTCACTCTGAGAAATGGAAAACACAACCGTGGAAAACACAAAGTACTGTAGTACTAAAAATACAGGCAAAGCAGTCGTGCATAACAATCCATCTAAAAATCACCACACAGGTAGTAGGTTACTGAGGGAAGGCTTGCCTGAAGCGAAAGGTCTTTGCCTGCTTGCGGAAGGACAGCAAAGACGGGGCAAGCGTGGGCTCCAGCGGCAGGGAGTTCCAGAGTCTAATTAGAGTCTGATATTTATTTATTTATTCGATTTATATCCCGCCTATCTGCTATATTGTACCACTCTGGGCGGCTTACAACATAACATAGATACATTAAAATAATGCAAAAACATTACAAGACAATAACAGATGCAGTGCAGAAATATAGTAAATAATAAATAGCACAAAAGAGAAGAAAATCAAGTGTTGACAGGAGGGAAGGCCTGGATGTACATCCATGTTTTTAATTGGCTTTTAAAAGTACCCAGCGAGGGGGCCTCACGAATTTCCAGAGAAAGGCTATTCCAGAGGTGAGGAGCCACTGCCGAGAAGGCTCGGCTTCGTGTCTTTTCCCTCCGGGCCTCCCTCGGCGTCAGGCTCCTCAGCCTCACCTCTTGGCTCATGCAGGTGACACGGGTAGATCTAGGTGGGGCAGGTGTTCTGCCAAATATCAAGGCCCTAAACCGTTCAGGGCCTTATAGGTAAGCATCAAAACTTTGAAGTCAATGCGGAAACGGATGGGCAGCCAGTGCAGTGCGGCCAGAGTGGGTGTGATATGTTGGTGTTTTCTCACTCCTGTAAGGAGTCTGGCCGCCGCATTCTGCACCACTTGAAGTTTCCGCAGCAGCCTCAAAGGGAGCCTCACGTAGAGCGGGTTACAGTGTCTAATCTTGAGATTATTGATGCTCACACTGTTGAACCACAACAAACCGTGTGTAGTAGGAAGTCCCACACAGCCACGCCTGAGAGAGCACTTGTAGGGCAGCGCTTGATTATTATATTCCTTCTCTCATGGAGGAAAGCCTTGCCGGTCCTAGTCCTGTTCACAAGGTGTCAGTGTCCATCCCACCCACCCGCCCTTGGGGCTGCTGTCCCCCTCGTCGGCGTCTCCGCCAGGCTCAGCCTCTGGCGGCCCCGGTCTCTCCAGCCAGTTTGAGCCAACGGTCCCGTCCGGCAGCCCAGAGGGAGCTTCAGAACCGCTGGCGCTTGGCCCCAGAGGGCGGGTGTCAAGCTTTGCCCCGAGAAGGGCTGTGGAGCGCCTTCCACACTTGCTCCATCCGCTCCATCGAGAGCCCGTGGACCGTCAGGGACTCTCGATACACCTCCAGCTCGTCCTTGGGAGGCCCCCACACCCGGAAGCGCCCCTCGTGCCGATGGGAGAGGCCGGCCGCCAGGGCCAAGAAGCCCAGGTACACGTCGTCGAGGGGGAAGACCGGGAGCCAGAGGGACACCCGGTAGAGTCCGGAAAGGGAGTCTCTGGGCATGACGAACCCTCCTCCAGAGGCAAAGGTGGGGTACTGGGCCATCGGGTAGAGAGCCGAGGAGACGGCGTATTTTCCTTCCCTCATCACAGCCGAATGGTACTGGATGTTGCCGTGGATGAAGTCAGAGGCGTTGGGCGTCTGCCGGAGGTATTCTGTCAGGGCCTCAATGTTCACAAAGAGGTCATCGTCTCCTGCAAGGCAAAAAGGGCGTTTTCGGGCGAAGTCGGCTTTTCAAAACACACGGCGTTTCCTCCGCCCTGAAACTCACCCGTTGCTTTGTCATCCAAGAATACCTACCTGTGAGGCTTGCTTTCTGAGGGCTTCCCCGGTTGGAGGTGCAGGAGAGCTTCCCACCCAAAGCTTTGGGCATTCAGACCAAGATGGTATCAAGAGTTATTAAATTTAATAAATAAATAAATAAAGAGTCAGGCCCAAGCGACAGGATGCCCCAGCCCGCCAGCAAGACCCTTGCCCTGGGAACTGTGTGCCTGAAGAAACTGAAAGGAAAAACTGAGGCCGGAAGCAGACGATAAAGAGTGTCCATCGTGACAGCTGGCAGCACCCAGAGTTGGCAGCAAAGTGACCGAGACCCTCCTTTTTTTTATTTTTATTTATTTATTTATTTATTTGTTTGTTTGTTTGTTTTTGCAAAATTAGATTTCTAGGGGATTGCATTCATGCAGCTGGCAGCACCCAGAGTTGGCAGCAAAGTGACCGAGACCCTCCTTTTAAAAAAAAAAATTAGATTTCTAGGGGATTGTATTCATAAAGTCCTGAAAACCGGTCACTGGATAAAGCCAGCTCGCTCCTGGTCACGTCCCTCGTTCCAGTTTTGGGCGTTCTTTACCATCTCTTTCTGGCCCAATTCTTGTCGTCAGTGCCTGAGGGCGAGTCACAACATAAAAACTGTGTGGCTTCTGCCAAGACATGGAGGGGAGAGATGCCTTTGGGCCACTTCAGGAGGGCATGTTTTTAAATGCAGACCTGAGCGCCTTATGCCACTTTGCCCCCAGAAAGTGCAGAGGATGTGAAGAATTGGTGCTTCTGGTTGGTTCAGTGGAAGATGAAGGAGAGCGTTTAAAAAAAAAAAAGAGGTTCAAAACGAAGGAAGCCTATAAACCCCAAACTCTGAAAACAACCTGCTGAAACCAAGCCACAGTGACATCAGTGTGACAGGAAATGAGAAGCAGAAGGACAAAACAGAAGCCTTGCAAGTAAACCCTAAGACATGATCCTCTCGAGGGACATACAGGCAGGCGGGCACAATCAACGCACCCCCAACGGCCAGCCATCCACAAAAGCGGCTCATTTGCAACCTGCAGGACAATCGCACATTCTTGACTTCTTAAGCCCGCTCCGCTTCGGATTGCGAAGCTACTCTCTGATGGTTTCTGGTTGGCTTTTCTGGCTCCTGCCTCCTCTACCTTTATTAGGAAAGTGGTAACCAGACAGGGCCACACCTCACATGGGTCTCTCTGATGGTTTCTGGTTGGCTTTTCTGGCTCCTGCCTCAGACAGGGCCACACCTCACATGGGCTTGCACAGAAAATGCCTCTTCGGAGAGCCTGCAGGACGCAGGTTGAATCATGCGCATTTGAAGCTCCCAAGCAAAATACTTCATACCTCTTCTACAAAAATCTCACCGCATTCCCATCAACCAAACACACAACATCCCCTCAGTCTGTTGTGATCAAAGGAGGACGCCCAGGCGCACGGATGCAAATCCACTTTCCGTCAGAGAGCACTTTGCCTCCAACTTGCAGCCCCTAGCATTTACACACACACAAACACACACACACAATGTCCCGCAGGTGGGTTACCTTTGAAGACGTAAGCGGCTTGCGGGCAGTGCACGTGGGCCCAGCGCAGGAAACAGCGTTCCTTGAGGGTCAGGTTGTGGTGCGATTCTTCAAAGTCCCATATCACGAGGTCGGCAAAGGCCCGGCTCTCCTCCTGCACCAGGCGGGTGTGCCGGACGTCGGGGGTCGCGGCCACCAGGAAGAGGGGCTGGAGCCTGAAGCCGCCCACCTGGCCGGGCCGGGCCCAGGTGCGGCGCAGAGCAGCCCTCCGGTCGCTGGCGGCCGGGTGGGACTTGACGGCCAGGAGCAGGAGGGGTGCGCCCCCCGAGGGGGGTCCCCCCTGGCACAAGGCGTCCGGGGAAATCAGCTCCCGGCACTGGTAGCCCTGGAGGTGGGGGAAGAAGTCCTGGTAGATCTTCGGGTCCAGGTGGAAGGCCAAGGTGCCGTCGTTCAGGGTGATGGTGTAGCTGGGAGCACGGTCCAGAGGATGAGCAGGAGGCGGTGGCGGCCTCCGCAGACAGAAGAGGATGCTCGCACAGAGGAAAGTGGAGACAAGGAGCCCCACCACCACCCAAAACTGGTGCATCGTTTTCATGCTGCTGGAGAACCTGGCCAGAGGCAGAAGGGAAGGAACACGGCGTTCAGGCGCAAGAACCTGCCCCGAGCACCCTCTTTGCAAAAGTTTTTTTTGTGGGGGGGTCCCCAGCCCTTCTCTCTGTCTCTCCCTGCAAGTGTGGTGGTGGCCACATGAAAACCAAAAGAGAGGACGGGCTCCGTTACCCTCTCACAGGAACCCAAGAGGGTTTCTGTAACCGGTCCTGCCAAAGTTCCCTCCTCCAGGCCACTCTGAACACTGCCAGCGCCTCCCCCCCTCTCCTTTGGCCCCACTTGGCGTCCCTTCCACGCCCTCCTGAAGGAGGCCAGGCGTCTGGGCGGCCTTCTCCCCCTTCCTTAGACCCACGGCCCCCATCTCCCTACGAGGCTCCTTTCCCTTAACCCCTTACCTGGAAGAAAACAATTCTCCGGGGACATCTCTCTTCCACACTCCCCTTTCGTTCCCCCAGGCAGGCAGGCTGGCCAGGTGCCCTCCCACGCCCTCGCTCTGCCCAGAGGCTCCGGCTTCCAAATGGCTTTAGGGGCAGGTGACTCCGAGTGACTCACCTGCATCTTTGGGAGAGAGGGAGGGTGGTGTCCACATTCTTTGCCCAGCCTCCAGATAAACACCGAGGGAGATTTAAAAAATGCAGGCGGTGCATCTTCCCCTTCTGTCATTCCTGAAACACCTTGCTGTCTTCCCTATACTATATGCCCTGATGCAAAATGAGAGTGCTCTTATTCAGGGTCTGGCGATATGTTAACAAAGAACCCGTTTCAAAAGCTGGAATAATACACGAGTGTCCCAGAAATGTGCTTCCAGCAGACCTCTGCACATCAGACTTGCAAAATAGAGCCCCTGGCTACCTCAAATGCAAAACAGAGCAGGTGAATCTGCAGATTAGCAGGGTTGTGAAATTCCCCTGCTGTGACAATCAGACCCTTTTAGGCTCTTGATGAACTCTCTCTTCCAATGACGGGCTCTCTGCATAGTTCAACCCCAAAATGGTTTTCTGTCTCCATCAACACTCTGCATACAACAGTGCCCCGTGTCTGGAGCAGATAAGACAGTGGCCGTGCCTTTGAGCTACTGCCTCCAAGGTGGGAGTTTAGCAGCTGGCACGTTTCATGTTGTGAAAATGCAGCAACAGGGGAACACTTCTTTGGTGAACTTTGCTGATCCTCTGTCACCCCTATCAGCCAGAAAGTTCAGGAGACTCCCTGTGAGGTCCTTGCCCTCGGAACGGAAGGCCCTGCCAGCAGCACATCATCAACAGATTGGAAGAGTGATGAGGATGTTGGTGCGGCCACAATCGTAAATCACTGGCCAAAAGCAAAGCAAAGCGTGCTGCTTATATACCGCCCCATAGCGCTTCAAGCACTCTCTGGGCGGTTTACAATTTAATTATGCAGGGTACACAAGGCCTGGCCAAACAACACAGGACAGTTCTGAAATCCTTGTGGTCATCTTCCCTGTGACAGAGATTGTGGGGCCTCGGAATCGTGGTCCCTCCACATGACAGCAAAGACGGGCACGCTGTCTTCGTGAATGGGAATGCAAAAGAAGGCGCCACAGTGGCAACCGATTCCACTAAGCCGAGTATAAGGATCAGGGACCCATGGAGGCAAGTCCTGGGCGGTGCCATTTATAGCGCGCAGATCATGTACCTGCCGCACGGTGCCATCCTTGTTTGGGACAGGCGGAATGGGAGAGTTCCAGGGACCAAAATCTCTCCAGATAACAGAGTATCAATGACTTTTTTAAAGCCAACCTGGAGGTCTTTTCGGATGGGATAGTGATTGAGTTGGACCGGCATGGTCCCGGGGCCAAGGAGGAGGACAATGGGGGTGGCTGTTACCTGCCAAAGCAGCCCAGTCGGTTGCCCTGACTACAGGATTAATTAATACAACTCCTTGCAGGTGAGGACCCTCTCCCGTCATCAAGGTGGTCTTGGACGGTCACTCCTAGGGAGCCATCAGACTTGCGGGAAATCAGGGCCGCTGTTTTGCAAAGGAGGTCTCGGTTCATAGGGGCCTCCGGGTGGTGAATTAGGGCTGTACTGGAACCCAGGATTCAGATCGGGACAGATGGGGGCTGGGAGTTCTGTCTGAATAGCTGAGAATTGAGCTCTTGTGTCTACCAGAAAGGTTTGCAAAGGGTTCCCTGCCCTTAACATTACTTGAGGCTCAGAGGGTGGACACCTGGTCCTCTGATGCCTTTATTCAGAGTCTGACCCCCTCTTGAATCACAGCCATGGCATGTGGAGGTCCCTGAGAACGGGGTAGGGGGGAGATGACGATAACATTTTGATTTTGGGGGCCTGCATTACCCTTTCCTGCCTTTAGGAGGCACTCTTTTCTCCAATGCCCTTTATTTTTTACAATAAGCACAAACATCCCCTGGGGAGTCGTCTGGGACCCTTCATGGAGGGGGGGGGGGATTGAATCACAGCCATGGCATGTGGAGGTCCCTGAGAACGGGGTAGGGGGGAGATGACGATAACATTTTGATTTTGGGGGCCTGCATTACCCTTTCCTGCCTTTAGGAGGCACTCTTTTCTCCAATGCCCTTTATTTTTTACAATAAGCACAAACATCCCCTGGGGAGTCGTCTGGGACCCTTCATGGAGGGGGGGGGGGAAGGTCGCCTCTCCTGTTGGCCTGGGTGGTTTCAGGGTTCTTTGGGCTGTCCCTGATATCTGGTAGCCGAATAAACGTCTCCTCTGGGTTGGATCCGGTGTCTTGGCAAAGGCCGGCTCTAAGCCTTTGTAAGGACTCAGAGGGTGGCTCCTTCTCTCCGCGCCGGATCTCATCAACCTTTGGACCGGTTCGGAAGCCACAACCACGATTGGAAGTTCCACTTCCGTAAGCAGGATGGGCCTCAGGACCTTCACATCCGACCACGTAGGGCGGTGGGTTTGGAAGAGAGCAGTGCAGAATCGGATCACCTCCCGGGGATTCTCTGAAAACTTTCCAGCCTTTAAAACTCAAGCGATCCAAGGGACTCCAAGCCTGAGGATGATGCACCACAGTCAAGAGGAGTCTGTGCTGGCGCTCCCCAGGCCCCTTCTCCTGCTTGTCTGCTAATAAGGGTCTCAGTGATCCGTGGGAAAGCCGGGGCCGTTGCTGGCCATGGTGGTGGGGGGCATAGGCTCCCAAGCTGCAAAAGGGTTATTCAGAATTTGAGGGACCCTTGGATATAAAGGTTCTCGGGGCCGAAAGGGCTGCAAAGAGCCTGGGCCGCCCTGAAGGGTTGGCACTGCGGATAATTTTGGAGAGTTTAAGGAGGTCGGCTGAAAAACATGTCGAAGAAGCAGCTAGCCGTAGCGGAACACTTGACGTGGTACAGGTTGATTTGTGCTTGACGGGCATCTTATGACAGTTTCATAATAGGCACTTATCAGACGGTCCCGACAGAAAACGAACATATGAACAGAAAACAAACAAGCACAAAACTGGCAAACCTCATTGCAACGGTCACTCGCTCTTAGATCCTGACCATTAACCCTCTCTTAAGGGCACACGGGTTGGCACAAGACAGGATCTCACTCGCTCTTAGATCCTGACCATTAACCCACTCTTAAGGGCTGGCACAAGACAGGATCCGACGGGTGACGTTTACCTCTCGTGAGAAAGCAAAGGCATTCTCATGTTTAGGTTAACTCCATCCGTGATGAGGTCAGCGTATTGACCTCTTGGTAAGAGTAAGATAGACTGCTCCTGGAGCAGTGGGTTTGTCAGTCCAGAAAGTGACATGTTATTTCTTTCTGCACTCATGGTTCCCACACAGCTGGTGACAGAACAAGTCAGGATATGATGCAAAAATATACAGTATTTCATTTCCAGTCCGGTACAAGCAGTGGGAACTTCTATGGTTAGAAAGGACCATAGCAGCAGATTGTCCGTGGAACAGGATGTGATCCTCTTTGGACAAGACTTGAAGATATAGTTGCTGCTTCCAACTGATTTATTTAATTATTTGTTTTAATTATTTATATACCGCACATCTGGCAGCCAAGGCCACTTTGGACAATTTACAACAACTAAATAGAGGAACAATAGAATAATAACAAAATATAACAACGTTTAAAGCTTTGGATTTGGTTGAATGGGATGCACTAAAAATCTTGATTAAACAGATAGGTACCCAATTTAGACTAATAATTCATCGATTATATTCACAGAACTCTGCAAAAATTATAATGAATGATGACATAATAGAGTCAATATGTTTTGCCCGAGGAATGAGACAAAGCTGCCTCTTATTTCCAACTTTATTTATATTGATAATATTTATTTATATTGATCACTTGCTGGCACAAGTGATCAGAAATGATAGTTTAATTAGAAGTGTAGACACTAGACAGGAGGAGAAAATAAATATTTTTTTGTGGATGACACACTATTAATAATTAAAAAAAACAAAGAAACATTGCAGATTACTAGAACACTGACACACTATTAATAATTAAAAACCCAAAGAAACATTGCAGATTTGAATCATTTTGAGAGAAAGTGGAATATATTTTATTAAATAATTCAGAAGTAGAAAAGAAAGAAATTTTAAAAAAAATTAAGGGAAGAATTGAAAGTTTAATTAAATACTTAGGTTAAATTCCATATTACAATACATGGAATACACAAGAAATTATAAAAGTAAATGTGGATAAATTGAAGAAAGAAACTAATGAACAGATAAATCAATATAAAAAAGTAAGATTATCATGGTTTGGAAGAATAGCATTAACTAAAATGAAGATAACCCCTAAACTTAATTTTATATTTTGGATGCTCCCCATAAAGATTGGGGAATATATCTGAAAGACTGGCAGAACTTGATAGTTATTGTAGTGAAAATAAAAGACTAAGAAAAGGGAAAAGGAAGTTATTGACATATGTGGTGGATTTGCGAAATAAAAAAGAAAGAACGGGCACTGGTTTTCAAAGAAATCAGAGAAACTACTGGATATAATCTTCAAATATCGCCAACTATTGCTCTTTTAAATATACGTACTCAAGGATGACATTTTAGGAAAGTTTGAGACTGTTCCAGAGACTAGCTGGGCCCCACCACAGGTTCAAAACCCGAGATTTTGTAAGGAAGTTTCTTCAATCATGTTCTATGCCCCTCAACCTTCCCCGGGATGAAGGGCTAACGAGAGATGCTGATTTGATGGAGACCGTTTGGGAGCTTCTGACCCATGGAGAAGAACTGCAGCCTTAAATTTGCTACAGGCTGCTAAGAAAAGCACATAATGTCGGACTTACCTGTGCCCTTAGGATGGCTGAGTACGTCTTCAGGAAGAACCAAATATCCTTTTATTTTTATTTTCGTTGTAGCTTGTTTTGCCTACTAGAGAAAGAGAACGGCGAGCCTGAAAAGCGGCCGGTGTGGGTCTCGACCGCTCCTCTTTTCTAGCAAAGTAAGTGGCCTCATGTGGTTTAGAGGAAGCATCTGCCGAAACGGATGTCAAGGGGATGGTGTGTACATGCGCAACACACATGTATTTGTTCAGTTCTGGCACCGTTGGCGTATGTGGACTAAGCTGTTGCTATCAGCATGATGATTTCTAAGAAGCGCACAACTTGAAAGAACAAAGCCAGCGTTTGTTTCATGTTTGCAAGCATGGAGAGAGAGAGCGACCTCGCAGGGTGTGGTCTCTAACGTTTTTACAAGTATAAACACATCTTATATACCCGACGCAATTGTTCCTCTCTATCCCTCTGGCCAAGGGGTCAATAGGTGGAAGGCTCACATTCTATCTACCTCGTCGCAACAGTTCATACAGTATTTCCCCCTTACATTATAGTATATACCTAATCTATAATTTTCCCCCCACTGGATGCTGGTGGAGTCACGACACCTTTATCTATCGCTCAGTTGTGCTTGTGCGTCTTGAAAAACCAAGACAGCTGCCTTTGCCCTGTGTGGTTCTCTATCAAAGTGCAAAGCTACTCAAGATACAAGCCATGGTGCCCCCCAGTTCTTGATCAAGGCTACATACCCCAGGGAGCGCTTCTGACTGTGGTCGTTTGGTGCCATCAAGTTACCTCATCTTTCTGGCCGCTCAGGGCATCCCTCCGGCGATGTACTTCAAAGAAATTGATTTTTTCCCCCTGTTGGCTTTCCTCCCTGTCCAACTTTCACACATGGGAAACCCAGTGAGTGAATAACCTCTGGAACCGCCCCGTCATTTACTGCTCTGCTCACCTCTCATCAGCTTCCTCTTTTCCTGATGCCTTTAATTTATTCCGACATCATCATCACCTTTTCCAGCGAGTCCTGTCTTTCTCATGGTGTCCCCAAGCAATCTCAGCCTCCGTTTGACCCCAGATTTTGTACCTGCCCTTCAGAGAGAATAACAACTGGAGGGAATGGCTGGTATTTACATAGGGAATTAAAAAACGGCCATGTTTTACTTCCTGACTAAGCTGGCTGAGACCACAGAGAGTTGAGCTGTTGAGTCAAGTTTTGCATCCAGTTCTAGAAGGACACAAACGGGTTGTTGTCTTCCATCATACCGACCCATGAGGTTGACAGGTGACCCTTGACTCTTCGCGAAGCAGTCACAGGTTTTCCCTTCTATCCTGGAAGCCGAGGGGCGAGATACGATGGCCCTAAACATGTTGAAGAAATTCAAGAATGCCCTGAATTCGGGCTGACGTTGGCCAAATACGACCAAGCCGGGAGGCCGTTGGTCATATGGCCAGGAATCTGTTTTGCAGGCCAAGTCGATGCCCTTACCGTTGGGATGAAAGAGAAGGAAGCTCGGCTTTTCACAGCACAGGGAGCAGAAACTAAAATTTGTTGCATAGCCGTGTGAATTGCTTGTCAGAACACCAGGTGATCTTGTGGGAAACCCAATCTTAGTTTCTGGCCGTTTGCCAGCAAAGTGTGGCGAATTCTTCATCAGATTTTTGACATTTCCCATCCTTGAAAGAAAGACGTTGTGACAAAATAAAGGCGTTAATGTTTCACCACCTTCGTGCCTGAAACATTAACGACCTGCTGCCTGTTATGATATATACCCGACGGAGGGAAGCAACCTGTGGCTCTCCACCTGTATGTAGCTCCCGTCACACCTTGCCACAGGGTTGGGAAACACCGCTAGAAGGTCACCAAAATATTTGAACCGAGAAATGGAGGGCCAGTGCAGAGAGAGGGGAAGGACAGACACCTCTGAGCCCGTAGGATCTCTCTCAGTGCTGCAAAACCTGGAGGAGAAAGAAACAGACACTGTTGAAAACACATCCTTCTTGCCAGAGGTTAAAAGTCCTGGGAGTAGAAATTACTCCGAAATGATTGTGGTGTCCATTTTGGGGCTAAAGTAACAGCAGCTTCCCGGGTTTTAAACATCTGGCCAGAGTGACTTTTGGATTCTTCTGCTCACCTGATGCCATTTTGCAGGGGCCCCCCCAGCCAGAGGGAGGTGTACCCCCAAAAGACTAGGAAGCTCCCTACTTATCTCGTCGAGGGGCTTCTCCAACTGCCCTTGGCTGGGCTGTGGGAGCTGGAAGAGGCAAAACCAAGAAAAGGCCTTGTTATCCCCCCCCCCCCATTCCAAGAACACTTTTATGACGGCGCCAGGCTTGGCGGGTGAAGCCTGCTCCTTTTCAGTGGTCCCTGAAAAGGCTGGACGTTCCTGCTTCTTTCCCACCTCTCTCAAAAGGCCGTGCTTTAAGGTGAGCACCTCTTCCCAAGAAGGGTCGCGTCACAATATTTACTCAAGAGGAGGGATTTTTTCAAGGTCCGTTGCTTTTGTGAACTTCTGCAACGGTAAAGGGAAGCAGAGAATAGAAGCAAAATTGCACTTGATTTGCCAACTTCAAACTGTGCCAAGAACAGAAAGCAAACTGGCAAAAGGTGACAGAACACCAAGCGCATAATCTACCTCCTGAATAATAAATACAGGGCAGCATCTTCCAGGTTGTTTTCTGTGCACTTCAGTTCTCTCTGGGTAAGTTCCCTCTGTGTTTACTTTGTTGGGGATCGTTAAACTTAATTAGCCATCACCAAATGCAAAGCTGGGCAGGGTGGAGGGAAAGCCAAGCACGAAATTGTGTTTTCAGGTCACAGAATCATAGAATTATAGGGAAAAAAACAGAGTTACAAGGAGCCTCGAAGGCCATCCAGTCCAACCCCCTTGCTTAAGGCAGGAATCAAAATCAAAGCAGATCGAACAGAGGGTTGGCCCATTGTCTCTTGAAGGCCTCCAGCTTTGGAGCGCTTATCACTCTCCCTGAGGTCACGGATTCCATTGTCGTACTGCTCTAACAGTTGAGAGTTTTTTCCAGATATTTATCCCAAATCTGGCTTCCTGTAACTTGAGCCCATGATTACATGTCCTGGGCTCTGGCATGGCTGAGAACAGATCCTGCCCCTCCTCTGTAGGACAGCCTTTTAAAGTCTTTGAAGACTGCTTCAGCCCTTCTTGGTCTTTGCCTTCACTAGAAGTCATTTCAAGTCACTGCTGCTTTCTGACAGCAAGACGGTGTCACCTGCATATCTTAAATTACTGATATTTCTTCCACCAATTTTCTGTGAATCTAGTCTGGCTTTCTGAGATCCAAGGAGGTCTGCCAGTGGGATCTGAAGGCCTTGGGAATGGATCTCAACAGATGGAAAACCTTGACCTCTGAGCGTTCAGCCTGGAGGCAGGCGGTGCATCACGGCCTCTCCCAATTTGAAGGGACCCTTATCCAGCAGGCCGAGGCAAAGAGGAAGTCACAAAAGCAGCCAAATCATGGAGCCGGACAGGGGACAGATTGGTTTTGTCTTCAGTGTGGAAGGGATGGTCACTCTCGAATTGGCCTTCTCAGCCACGCTAGATGCTGTTCCAAGTCCTCCATTCAGAGCATATGACCCTAGTCTCTCAAGTCTGAAGGATGCCTAACTAGTCCGGCTTTCTGTAGAATGTGTTCTGTGTACAGATTGAATGGATAAGGGGATAATACGCCCGCTTCTTTGACACCTTTGCTTACAGGAAACCACTTTGTCTTTCCTTATGTTCTTATGGTAGCTTCTTGTCCACAATACAGGCTACAGAGGCACCGGGACAATCAAGCGCTGAGATGCACCAGTTTCTTTCAGAACAACCCATAGCTAGAGGACTTTAGAGATATGAAAATCTAGAGTATAAAAAAAGGAGGTGGGGTCATGGAATTACAATGACCTTTGGACAGATATATTAAAAGCCACTGAGATGGGAAATGACACAGTCTCACATGCAATCCAGGTATATAAATTTTATCTGTTTCCTCATTTTGAGCATGTTTGCAAAGAACGACCTCCCTTAAAACCGAGCTTACTAGGACATGGCTGTTTATGAGAGTGGTTGACATTTCTCTCTTGTAAGACCTTTACGGCGCTCAGGAAATTCCTGGCAGTAACTGGACGTTCCAGATTTCATCAATGAAGATTCAATGAAGAGTCTCATAAAGGAGCAAGAAAACCAACTCTACTTTGGTATCTCTCGTCAAGTTTACAAGCTTAGTTTTAGATGGAGGTTTCATTGAGGGTGCGGCTGACATCCTGCTTTAAATGTCAATTACCTTCCGCAAGAGAGTTCTTCCCGATTTCCTTCAGACAAGCCATTCATTCTCTTCTGTTTAGACAGAAAAGGGTGGTCCTGTTATTTATTGCAGAGGAAATTAACAAGTCCTATGAAGAGCCCTCAAAAGTCTTCTCAGGATCATCGCAGCTCGGAAGTGACTTGACCGCCTATGCCGACCAGCAATGTGAGCCCAACGAAGGCATGCAGGACAGAGGCAAGCGACGGAATCTGGCCGGTGGGTCCGACATCTGTGTCCTAGCTCGGTGGCGAGGTCTGTTGCCACCAGGGAATCATCCTCCGAAGCTCAGCAGTTGTCCATTAGCATGTAAAGGCCTGGCCACCAAGATCTGCAAGAGAAAGAGGCATCATCGGCCAGGATTGGCCACCCATCCTCGCAAGTGAGGCTCTTTTTTAAATTTTTATTTTATTAAAAGAACATCAAACGTAAGCCAATATAAACCTACTACCACAATAATATACAATTACATAATTCACATTTTGTTTCTGTTCATGGTGTTTTCTTGGCAAAGAGACTGGAGTGGCTTGCCCATTCCTGCGTCTACAGTGGCTCAGGCATGTCGTGATAATGGCTGATGGTCAGATTGCAAAAGATCTCCTGTGTAGAGAATTAGTGCAGGGAAATTGCCCCAGAGGGAGACCACAGCTGCGATACAAGGAGATCTGCAAGTGGGATCTGAAGGCCTTAGGAATGGACCTCAACAGCTGGGAAACCCTGACGTCTGAGCGTTCAGCCTGGAGGCAGGCGGTGCATCATGGCCTCTCCCAATTTGAAGAGCCCCTTGGCCAGCAGGCCGAGGCAAAGAGGCAGTCACAAAAGCAGCAAAATCAGGGAGCTGGACAGGGGACAGATTGTATTTGTCCTCAGTGTGGAAGGGATTGTCACTCTCGAGTTGGCCTTTGCAGCTGCTGTTCCAAGTCCTCCATACAGAGCACGTTACCATAGTCTCTCGAGACTGAAGGATGCCTGCTACTGGGGGGAGGACAGAAGCACCTAAATATCTCAACCAGTTTTGAAATTTAGGTGGTCCCTCTTTCTCCATTACTGGGGATGCACGTCGCTGGAACCCAATAAAGGGAAAGGAAGCAAGAAAACCATCGCTGCGGCTCTGCAGCTGTTATCCAGAGCCTAACGGAGGTTCCCGGAAACGGC